GCTGCTCTCAGCTACAGCAGCATTCAGCTCCTTCTCACACAGAGCAACGAATGCGCTGTAGAGTCGCAGCCCATCCTCCTTGCTGATGTTGTTGTGGTACTGCATGCCTCTGCCTTTGGCCTTTCCTCCCAGCGTGGCCTGAGGGACAATCAGCAAACTCCCGGGAAGGTCCAACACTGACACCATCTTCCCAGAATCCGACTCGCTCAGCCGCAGGTTCAACAGCGTGGACACTGGACGGAGCGAGGACACAACATTTTTATCATCTGTGGAGGGATTCACAGGGAAGCAGGGGTTCACTATTTAGATCAAAGAAAAAAGTAAAAAATTCACTGACCCATCTTGGGTAGGACGTCATCTGTGGCTCCTTTGAAGAAGCAGATGTAGATCACCATCCCTCTTTCAATCTGAGAGTGCAGATAAAAGCAGAAATGTTAAATACAGTAAAAATTATGTCATTTCTCCAAGATGTTGCATCATGTGCAACACATATAAAGTCAAAATAAGAAAAAGTCTGACACACACATCCGTGAATCAATATATACATTACTTTGTATTTCTGAACTCTGATATTAATTTTGTCAATATTTACTTAATGTCTTTGTTTTATATTGACAACTTTTTTAAGCATATTATCAGTATTGCTAGCACTCTAATGCTGATTGGTTTATGTCTGCAAAGCAGTGACAGATGTCTCTCACCTGGACAAACTGCGCTTCGGAGTGTTCATCGGCTGGTTTCACCTGCAGCCTGGCCTGCAAACACTGCTGCAGTACCGTCCGGGCCACCGGATTGCAGCCTTTCTCCGTCATTACTGCCAGGCTTTAACTCCTGTCTTCCCCCTTTGTTTATACGTCTTAACAATCTCCACTTTTCAAAACAGTGCTTTAGCGTCCAGGAGAAACTGCTTAACATGTATAATATTAATTAACCGTCTCTCCCTAAAAGCGGTAAACCCCACTAACACCTGAGAGAAATGAATGAGAAAAAAACGCGACCCATTTAACCCACTTCCGTGTCGACATTGGCTGTAACTGTTCAGAAATGTTCACGACTGCGCGCTACTTGCGCATACCGTCCTTACCTACTTGCCTTTTCCCTCTGTGTCGTCTTTAAACGGACCTTTCAGCACATTTCACCACTCAGAGAATTAGTTCGGAGTTTCAGGATCAAAATAGGTGAGAAAAAATGAAGAACAAAATATTTTTTTTAATCCCCTGTTGTTGATACGTGTTTTTTTAATGTAAATTTTTAAGTGTTTCATAATATATATTTTTAAAGACCTGGCCCTCCATAGGGTATCAGGTTACTGTATGAAAATAACATCTGTATCTTTTTTTCTGTAATTGTTGAAATCTCCCATTCCTTCACTGCTTTGCTTTGTGCTGCCCTCTGCTGTTCAGACTATTTATGAATTTATAAGTGTTGTTTATTCCTTAATGTGAACATCATCAGTGAAGCAGCAGTCTTACAGAAACTTATCAACATCTACATTAAAGACTGTAGAGATATGGCCACCTGTCTTTGAATCTCAGCATGATCTTGCTGGAAGACTGGGAGGAGAAGCTAATGCATATCCCAAGGTAACT